CCCTCCGGAGTCTGTACACACCCCAGTGAGCACAGAGTGTTGAGTGTTTTGAGTATTGAGTGCTGATTATGAGTGATGAGTGATGGAGTGACACTGCTGTGAGGTTGTATTTATTTGTGTTGTTGCTGCATTTATCTGTTAAACTTCTTTGTGGCATATACTGAGTTATGGAATTTACCTGTTTATTTCTATTTATTTTTAAATTATGAAAATAAATAATTAGACTGTTTTACTTAGCTCGTCACTACTGCTCAGTTCCTTAGTTATTTNTTTGGTTTTAAGGTATTTCCGAGTTAGCTTGGAAGAATGAATTTCATGTTGGAAGCTTAAGTTGAAATAGTTGACCGGATGTCGACTTATGTGTAAGCGACCGCGGAATAGAGTTTTGATAATTCCAATAGCTCTGTATGGTGATTTTGGACTTAGGAACGTGTCCGAAAAATTATTTGGAGGTACATAGTGGAATTTGGCTTGAAATGCCGAAAGTTGAATTTTTGGAAAGTTTGACCGGGGGTTGAATTTTTGATATCGGGGTCGGAATTCAATTCCGTAAATTGGAATAGGTCTGTTATGTTATTTATGACTTGTGTGAAAAATTTGAGGTCAATCGGACTTGATTCGATAGGTTTCGGCATCAAATGTAGAAGTTGGAAATTTCATAAGACTAAAGTTTCAAGTGAGTTCGCACAAGACCCAACTTTGAACAAGAATATCTACATATATATATGGATTTATGTGATGATCTACCTATCAAATGAAATATCTTCGTATCCAGTTTCTAACGCTTCAAACCGTTTAACATTTGGACATTCCTACAAGACGTTATGACCAAATTACCAAAAGCTAGGAAAATGCAATTCTGCGACCAATTATGCGATCGCAAAACTGCTTCTGCGACCGCAAAACAGGTCGCAGAATGGACCAGAAGAGCCCAGATTTGGGCACCGATTTTGCGGTGCAATTTGTGACCCACATACCCATTCTACGGTTCATTATGCGACCGCAGTCCTGCTTTCGGAGGGTTAATTTTTCTATTTTTATAACCCGAACTCATTTTGGTAAATAGGCTTTGGGACTCATTTTGGAGCAAAAATCTGACATTTTTTTAGAGAGAAGGGGGAGTGTTCTAGAGAGAGGAAGAAGCTCAAGTGCTTTGCTCATCAAGATCTTGTTCAAGCTTTGAAATCCAACAAGGAAATATCACAAAATCTTCACCCAAGAGATTCAGAGCTTTTGGAGACCGAATTCAGAGACGAGGGAATCCCGGAGTAAGATTTTTACGCTGTTAAGGTAAGTAACAGTTTTAACTCTGGCTTTGAGGGTATAAACTCAGAGATTTGACATCACGTGATTGTTTGGAAGTGATACCCACGCTAGGTGACGAGTGTGTGGGTGTGCACCGCGAGGAATTGAGACTTGGTCCGTCCCGTGAGGTTCTGAGGCCTAATAGCTATTATTTGTGGTTATGTGTTTATTTGTTGTTGAACTTGTTTGCCTTCATGTTATAGATCATGCTTAGGCTTTATTCATTCTCATATTATTTATACTCAGTCCTAAAAATTATTGTACATGTTTACCTCAGTCTCTATAATTTGCTAATATGCATTGATGCTTGATGTGGGTTGTGTTACCTTATTTATTGGTGATGGTGAGGCTAGTGAGGTACATGATTTAGTGAGGCCGAGGGCCTGGTTGTGAAGATATTAATATCATAGCGCGTGAGTNTAGATCATGCTTAGGATTTATTCATTCTCATATTATTTATACTCAGTCCTAAAAATTATTGTACATGTTTACCTCAATCTTTATTATTTGCTAATATGCGGTGATGCTTGATGTGGGTTGTGTTCCCTTATTTGTTGGTGATGGTGAGGCTAGTGAGGTACATGATTGAGTGAGGCCGAGGAACTTGTTGTGAGGATATTAATACCATAGCGCGTGAGTTGTCCACGTAGCACGTGAGTTGACCATGCAGATCCAGGTATTGATACCATAGCGCGTGAGTTGTCCGCGTAGCACGTGAGTTGACCGTACGGATCCAGGTATTGATATGATGGCACGTGAGTTGTCCGTGCTTAGCGCTTGGGCTTTGGGAGCCCCTCCGGAGTCTGTACACACCCCCAGTGAGCGCAGAGTATTGAGTATTTTGAGTATTGAGTGCTGAGTACGAGTGATGAGTGATGAGTGATGGAGTGACACTGCTGTGAGGTTGTATTTATTTGTGTTGTTGTTGCATTTATCTGTTAAACTTCTTTGTGGCATTTATTGAGTTATGGAATTTACCTGTTTATTTCTGTTTATTTTTAAATTGTGAAAAAAAAATAATTGGACTATTTTACTTAGCTTGTCGCTATTGCTCACTTCCTTAGTTATTTCTGTTACTTGCTGAGGTGGTGGTACTCATGCTACACCCATCACTTTATGTGCAGATTCAGGTGAGTTAGAGCGCGGTGATCGTTGAGTTCAGGCCGGCTATCTGTGGAGTTTGCAAGGTAGCTGCTAGCGTCCGCAGGACCTTGTTACTCCGTTTATCATTTCTTCTTTTGGATTGTATTGACAGTTAGACAGTTTCATTTCTTAGTTCATAGATTTAGACGCTCATGACTTAGTGACATCCTGATGTTTGGGGCTCGTTTCCATATTTCTAAAATTATATTTAGAGTTGATTTATTTTATGAGAAATTCAAATGTTGAAATGTTTTATTAAATTCTTATAATCGGTTTAGTAGAAATATTTTGGGAAGTAGGCTTGCTTTGTAACACGATAGGCACCATCATGACCATGGTTAGATTTTGGGTCATGACAGCTATTTACCGTAGTTTCAATTTTTATGTATTTTCATTTAATTTATTTTCAATTTTCACTTTTCTATTTTAGCAACATCTAATATTTTATATTTGCGCCTTTCAATTTTAGCAACATCTAATATTTTATATTTGCACCATTTATTTTTTGACAAGATAATATATTTTTTATACAATTATAACTTATAATAAAATTAACTTAAAATTTTACCTAAAAATAATAAATGCACGAAAATTGATTAATCAAAATTATACGCCAAAGTTAAGATGTAAAATTAATATTATAAATGTGTATAGTGTTGATGTTGAAAAGGTAGAGGCTCAGATTATACACTGCCTAGTTAAAGGCAGAGTGGATGGATTTAAATCATATCTAACATTGGTACATGGCTTCAATACAGTTGATCTAAGAAAGGAACTATGGACACGTCTTGTTGATATCTCTGCACATACAAAAAAGCCATGGCTGATAGGTGGTAATTTTAATGCTATGCTATATACACAAGACAAGATGTATGGCAACCCTGTGACATTGAATGAAATAATTGACTTTTCTGATTGCATACACAATCTATTACTGAATGAACTATCATGGAAAGGAGACTACTACACCTGGTCCAATAATCAACAAGGGGCAGAAAGGATTGTGAGCAAAATTGATAGGATGTTTGGCAATGATAGCTGGATGATGAACTGGGGTCATGTGCACACAGAATATGATATACCTTTAATCTCTGACCACTCACCAAAGCTTGTCAATATAAAAACTGTGAAACTCAACATTAGAACTCCTTTTAGGGTTTTTAATGTATGGGCTTCCCATGATGAGTTTGATACAATTGTTGGCAATCTATGGAGAAGAAAGGAAGCTGATGATCAAATGGAGAAAATTTGAAAGAAACTGAAAGCTCTGAAACCTCTATTCAAAAGCCTTAATACTACTAAGTATAAGGGCATTGCTGAGAGAATTGAGAATGCCAGGGCTGATCTTATTCAAGTTCAGGAGGAAATGAGGTTACAATACTCAGACAATCTGCTACTACAAGAGAAGACTATCCTACAGAACTTGGAGACATGGCCACTTATTGAGGAAAGTATCCTCAAACAGAAGGCTAGAGTGAAATGGATCAATCTAGGAGATGCCAATACTAAGTACTTCTCTACTGTCATGAAAGAGAGAAGTCAAAGAAAGCAGATACTAGAGATCTATACTGACGATGGAATGAAATTGGCTACTCCTACTAATATTAAGGAGGAGATAGTTAAATTTTATAAGAGCTTGATAGGAACTGATGTTGCATCTTTTCCTTCTATCAACAAGGAAACTATGAAAAATGGACCTAAGCTTACTCATGAACAACAGTTGAGCTTATGTGTGGAAGTAACAGAGGAAGAGATATATGCAGCACTGTGTGCAATACATGAAGATAAAGCCCCTGGAGTGGATGGATATAATTCTTGTTTCTTCAAAAGAGCATGGCCAATAATCCAAAGTGATGTAGTGAGAGCAATTTAGGATTTCTTCATTACTGGTAAGCTATATAAAGCCATAAATTGCTTACATTGGTACCTAAGGTAAACAAATCCTAGAACAGCAAAATATTTCAGACCTATTGCTTGTTGCTCAGTACTATATAAGATCATCTCAAAGATGCTGGATTCATTCCTGGGACGAAGATTGCAGACAACATCATCTTGGTTCATGAGCTTGTCAAAGCTTACACAAAGAAGAACACGTCTCCTAGATGTATGATCAAAATAGACCTGACCAAGGCCTATGATTCTGTGGAGATCCCCCTTATACTGCATATTTACTTTGGGACTACGGAACGGTATTTCGGGAGATTCCCCTGTACTGCACATTTATGTTTGGGACTACGAGACGGTATCTCAGAAAATCCCATGTTGTTATCTCTGTGTACTGAGCTGTTGTCTTCTATGATTTCATTCTTGTTAAATTTCAGTCTTTATTTTATTGTAGTATTTCATTCTATCTTGTTTTATTATATATATATACCAGTAGGGCCCTGACCTGGCCTCGTCACTACTCGATCGAGGTTAGGCTTGGCACTTACTGGGTACCGATTGTGGTGTAATCATACTACTCTTCTGCACATGTATATCTGCCGCGTCCGCAGATCTCGGAGTCCCCTTCTACTCTTTCTCATGTCCATTATCTTATGTATTTTTCCTTTGTTAGACTCTGATGTATAGAGACACTAGATTTTCCTTCTATAGTTTGTGATTCACATTATTCCGGGTTTTGGGATTGCTGTTTATTTTTGAACGGTTAGTTGTTAAAATTATATTTTCATTTCATTGATCCGCAAATGTTAGGCTTACCTAGTCGTAGAGACTAGGTGCCGTAACGACGTCATACAGAGGAAAAATTTGGGTCGTGACAAGTTGGTATCAAAGCTCTAGGTTCGTAGGTGTCGTAAGTCACAAGCTAGTTTATTAGAGTCTCGCGGATTGGTATGGAGATGTTTGTACTTATCTTCGGGAGGCTATGGAACTGTTAGGAAAATTTCACTACTTTGATTCCTTTTCGTGCAAAAATTGTTGACTTCAAAGATTCTAAACTTCTGTATTCTATTCTCTCACAGATGGTGAGGACACGTACAAGCAGATCTGATGAACAGGCACTCATGCCCCCTGCTAGAGGCATGAGAGGCCGGGGCCGGGGTAGAGGTCGAGAACATCCACGTGGTGCAGCCAGAGCACACGCACGAGCTGTTATCGAGGAGCCCCCAGTAGCTCCAGCTGGAGGGCAGACACCTGAGGCACCTATTCCTGCACCAGCCCTCCAAGAGACTCTAGCCTAGTTTCTGAACATGTTCAGCACCTTAGCTCAGGCTGGAGTGATTCCACTTTCCCCTGCCATATCTCAGGTCGGGGGAGGAGCACAGACTCCCATCGCCGGTACTCCAGAGCAGTGGGTTCAGGTCGACCAGGTTCCAGAGATTGTACCAATGCAGCCGGTAGCTCTAGCTCGGCCCGAGGTTAGGGCAGCAGCTTCTGAGGTGGAGCAGCTCAGACTTGAGAGGTACAGGAAGTACCACCCACCTACCTTTAGCGGATTGGCTACAGATGATGCTTGGGGTTTTCTGGAGAAGTGTCAATGTATTCTCCGTACTATGGGCGTAGCGGAGATGAGTGGGGTTTCTTTTACTACATTCCATTTTAGAGGAGCAGCCTATCAGTGGTGGCGTGCTTATGAGTTGAGTAGTCCGACTGAGGCATCTTAACTTACATGGACTCAGTTCTCGGACATGTTTTTGAGAGAGTATGTCCCTCAGAGTCTCATGGACTCATGGTGTACGGAGTTTGAGCAGCTGCGCCAGGGATCTATGACTGTGTCAGAGTATGCAGTTCGCTTCGGTGATTTGGCCTGACATGCATCAGCGTTGGTTGCCACAGTTTGAGAAAGGGTTCGGCGGTTTATTGAGGGATTCCACCCCAGCATCCGGATTAGTATGGCCAGGGAGTTGGAGATGGATATTTCTTATTAGCAGGTTATGAGTATCTCCAGGAGATTGGAGGGCATGTTTGCCCAGGATAGAGAGGAGAGGGAGGCCAAGAGGTCTCTAGAGACTGGTTCTTATTCTGGTGCTCATGCCCCAACAGCTCGCCATGGTAGGGTTATGTGAGTCACCCCATCCATTCAGCTCTTCCAGCCGCCAGTGGTATTCCGATCCCTTCTAGGCCCCATGAGCCTTATTATGCATCGCCAGTATCTAGTGTGCCTCCTGCATGGGGTGTTCCTAGCGGCCAGTCCAGCAGACCTGGCCCGAGCTAGCCACATCAGCCACACCCTCCCAAAGCTTGTTTTGAGTGTGGTAACACTCGCCATATGGTGAGGGATTGCCCCAGATTTAGTAGGGGTGCACCTCCACAGACTTCTCAGCCACAACATGCTCCACCGGGTCCTCAGGCTATGATTACAGCACCAGCTGCCACCCCACCTACTCAGCCAGCCCGAGGTGGAGGTCGGGGAGGTAGAGGTTGCCCTAGAGAGGGAGGCTAGGCCAGATATTATGCCCTTCCTGCTCGTACGGAGGTAGTTGCTTCTGATTCTATCATTACAGGTATTGTTCCAGTGTGTCATAGAGATGCGTCGGTATTATTTGACCCAGGCTCTACATATTCCTATGTGTCCTCTTATTTTGCCCCGTATTTGGGCATATCGCTGGATTTTTTGAGTTCCCCTGTTAATGTGTCTACTCATGTGGGAGATTCTCTTGTTGTGGACTACGTGTATCAGTCGTTTTTGATAGCTCTTAGTGGTTTTGAGACCAGAGCCGACTTATTATTACTCAGCATAGTAGATTTTGATGTTATCTTAGGCATGGATTGTTTGTTGCCCCATTATGCTATTCTTGATTGTCACGCTAAGACCGTGACACTAGCTATTCCAGGTTTACCGCGATTAGAGTGGAGAGGTACCTTAGAGTATATTCCCAGCAGAGTTATTTCATTTCTTAAAGCTCAACGAATGGTTGAGAAGGGGTATGACGCGTATCTAGCTTATGTGAGAGATGTCAGTATTGATACCCCTGCAGTTGAGTCAGTTCCAGTAGTGAGGGACTTTCCAGATGTGTTGCCAGCTGATCTTTCGGGCATGCCGCCCGACAGAGATATTGATTTTGGCATTGATTTGTTGCCGGGCACTCAGCCCATCTCTATTCCTCCATATCGTATGCCTCCTCCTGAATTGAAGGAGTTGAAGGAGCAGTTACAGGAGTTGCTTGATAAGGGCTTCATTCGACCTAGTGTGTCACCTTGGGGTGCTCCTGTCTTATTTGTGAAGAAGAGGGATGGTTCTATGCGGATGTGTATTGATTACCGCTAGTTGAACAAAGTCATAGTGAACAACAGGTATCCATTGCCTCGTATTGAAGAAAAGGGATGGTTCTATGCGGGTGCCAGAGTGTTTTTCAAGATTGATTTACGTTTCGACTATCATCAGTTGAAGATTCGGGAGCCAGATATCCCGAAGACTGCCTTCCGGACTCGGTATGGTCACTATGAGTTCCTTGTGATGTCTTTTGGGATGACCAATGCCCCAGCAGCTTTTATGCACTTGATGTACAGTGTGTTCTGGCCTTATCTTGATTCATTCATCATTGTGTTTATTGACGACATTCTGGTGTACGCCCGGACTCGGGAAGATCATGAGCAGCACCTGAGGCCTGCACTTCAGACCTTAAGAGAAAAGAAGTTATATGCAAAATTTTCAAAGTGTGAGTTTTGGCTAGACTCAGTGGCATTCTTGGGTCATATAGTATCGAGTGGGGGGATCCAGGGTAGATCCGAAGAAGATTGAAGCAGTGCAAAGTTGGCCCAGACCATCCTCAGCTACAGAGATCCGGAGTTTTCTTAGTTTGGCGGGGTATTATCGTCGTTTTGTAGAGGGATTCTCATCAATTGCAGCACCTATGACCAGGCTGACCCAGAAGGGTGCTCCGTTCAGATGGACAGAGGAATGTGAGGAGAGCTTTCAGAAGCTCAAGACAGCTTTGACTACAGCCCCAGTATTGGTATTACCTACAGGTTCGGGGTCTTATACTGTATATTGTGATGCATCGCGGATTGGTCTCGGTACGGTGTTGATGCAGGACCGTAGGGTGATTGCCTATGCGTCCAGACAACTGAAGGTGCATGAAAAGAACTATCATGTCCACGACTTTGAGTTAGCAGCTATTGTATACGCCCTAAAGATTTGGCACCATTATTTGTATGGTGTTCCTTGTGAGATTTACACCGATCACCAGAGTTTACAGCATCTATTCAAGCAGAAGGATCTTAATTTGCGTCAGAGGAGGTTGTTGGAGCTGCTTAAGGATTATGATATCATCATTTTGTACCACTCTGGGAAGACCAATGTGGTGGTCGATGCTTTGAGTCGTCGGGCAGAGATTTTGGGGATCTTAGCATATCTACCAGCAGCAGAGAGGCCCATGGCATTGGATGTTCAGGCCTTAGCCGACCAGTTTGTGAGATTGGATATTTATGAGCCGAGTCGAGTATTGGCTTATGTGGTCTCTCGGTCTTCCCTTTATGATCGTATCAGGGAGCATCAATATGATGACCCCCATTTACTTGTCCTTAAGCACACGGTCCAGCACGATGATGCCAAGGAGGTCACTATTGGAGATGATGGTGCATTGAGGATGCAGGGCAGGCTCTGTGTGCCCAATGTAGATGGTTTGCGTGAGTTGATTCTTCAGGAGGCTCACAACTCGCGGTACTCCATTCATCTGGGTGCCGCGAAGATGTATCAGGACCTGAGGCAGCATTATTGGTGAAGGATAATGAAGAAGGACATAGTAGAGTATGTGGCTAGATGTCTAAATTGCTAGTAGGTGAAGTATGAGCATCAGCGACCGGGTGGGTTGCTTCAGAAGATAGAGATTCCGGAGTAGAAATGGGAGCGGATCACTATGGACTTCGTTGTTGGTCTCCCACGGACTCAGTAGAAGTTTGATGCAGTTTGGGTGATTGTGGACAGGCTGA